TTTCGCCGTCCCTGCGCTCCAAGACGGCCCAAGAGGACCCCAAGACCGCTTCAAGACCACCGACGAGGCCCGCAAGAGGGCCTCAAGACGGGCCAAGAGGGCCCCCAGACGGTCCCAAGACGCCCCAAGACAGCCCAAGACGGCCCCCCAAGACGGCCCCAGAGTGCCCCGGGACGCCCCAAGATAGGCCCAAGACGCGCCAAGAGGGCCACAAGAGGCCCCCAAGACGGCCCCAGAGGGCTCCGGGACGCCCCAAGATGGGCCCAAGACGCCGACGATTGGGCCAAGACGGCCCCAGAGGCAGCCAAAATGCCCCAAGAGGCCCCCCAAGAGGCTTCCCAGCAGGGCCCCGAGCGGGAGAAATCGTCGATTTCCATTGTGTTTTTCCATGTTTTTCGCATTCTCCCCTTTTCGCCGTCCCTGCGCTCCAAGACGGCCCAAGAGGTCCCCAAGACCGCTTCAAGACCACCGACGAGGCCCAGAGGGCCTCAAGACGGGCCAAGAGGGCTCCAGACGGTCCCAAGACGCCTTCTCGGCGGTCCAGCGCTTGCATATGGCCAGACAGGAAAAGTGCCTTGTCCCCGTCGTCGTCGCCGTCGGCGGCCCTGGCGCCAGGCAGCCCAAACGGCATCGCCACAGGGACCTCCGGGCAGGTTTTCACAAAGAAACTCCCCGGCAGCCCCTGCGGGGCCACACACTGAAAGCAACGACAAAACGCCCCCCTCCGAAAATGTGCTCCGCCTCGGGCTCAGGCTCGAGCTCTGGGCTCGGGCCCGGGCTCGGGATCGGGCTCGGCCTCGAGCTTCAGCCTGGGCTCGGGCTCGGCGCTCGGGCCTGGGTCGTGCTCCGGCCCGGGCCCGGGCTCAGGCTTGGGCTCGAGCTTCGACTTGTGCTCGAGCCTGGGCTGGGGCCTCCGCTCGGACACTGGCTCGGGCTCGGGGTCGGGCTCCGACCTGGCCTTCGGCTCGGGCTCAAAGCACGGGCTCGGGCTCGGCCTCGGGCTCGGATTCGTGGCCCATGCCCCCCCCCCTCCAGTCGCGCCACAGACGCCGCCACCAGAGGGATCTCCACGCCGGTTTTTACAGAAAAACTACCCGCAGGCCCCTGCGGGAAAAGCCGCGGATCACCCCGACCAAAACGCGTCCTCCTGGACCTCGGCCTCCGAGAATCGGCCCCCAAGGCAACGCTACGGCCCACGCACCGGGGATCGTTCTCGCGTCCCGGGACCTGGGGGGATCTGGGGCCCTTTCAGCACCCTCCTACGACGGCGGCGGCAGCGGCGACGACGACGGCGACGACGACGACGACGACGACGACGACGACGACGACGACGACGACGACGACGACGACGACGACGACGACGACGACGACGACGACGACGACGACGACGACGACGACGACGGGCGCGCCATCCACCATCCAGACGATCCTTTTGTCAGCCCCGTGCAACGCCGCCCATTTCGCTTGTTGTCTTACCTCGACGAGCTCCCTCGCTTGCATCCTGCTTTCGCGGCGCCCCCCCTCGATCTTGGATCCTGCCGCCATGGCCCCCAAGTTCGACCCGAACAAGAGGGCCCGCGTCAGTTCCGGGCAGGCTGGCCTACGACGGCCTACGGACGCGCCCATGAGGGGCCCACGACGAACCAAGACGGCCCCATCACCGCAGACGGCGTCCTCAAGACGGGCATAGAAGGCTCCATGACGGCCCTTTGAGGGAGCCAACATGGCCCCACACCCTTCGGGCGAACACTTGGGGGGGCTGGGAGCTTGCGACAACTCTCCCACATTCATCGTCCTGCCCCGTTCTGTTCGCCTGGAGGCCTCCTCCAACCCTGTGGGCGAACTAGAGGAAACCCAGCAGGCCGCCAACCCTGGGGCCCGTGGGCCCCGCGCCGCTTGGGCAGAAAACGAACGCCGGGTGTGACAGGCCAGCTACCGCCCCCCTTTGCCCGATATGCTGTGCCATTCTGTTCCCCCAGGGGCCTTGGCAAACTCTTCGGGCCAACCAGACCGGACCCCTGGGACAGCAGCCAATTGATATGACCCAAGCACCTCTCTGCACTCTTCGGACCACAGACCCTCAGGGCGAACAAAATGAGACTTGGCGAACAAACCCTGTCGTTGGCGGCGATGCGACTGGATCGCACCATCAAGGCGTGCCCGGAGGTGATGGCCCACCCAACAGCGGTTTCTGTCAAGATTCTACTGAATTTCAAATTTTCTTTCAGCTCTCTTGGGCCCGGCCTGTAGATCCTTGCGAGCCTCCCCGGCGCTTTCGGTGGTTTTCCCCGATGGCCTCCCGAGCCCTTCCCCGGGCGCTCCCGAGACGCCTCAGATGGGCTTCGACTTCGACGCACATCCCCGAGAGACTTCGAAACTGCCCTCAATAGGAGGGGGGTGAACGAGCAGTGCTCCGGGGCCAAGCTGATGGAGCGCTGCAAGAGCTCGGACACGAAGGCGCGGTCTCGCTGCCGCCGCCCGAGCCGCCGCCGTGTTTGTAGATTTTCGGTGCAATCTGCGCCGTTCCTCCGAGAACCATTCCAGAAAGATGTGGTGGACGGAGTCCACGGGTCAGCCCTAGTCCCTACTACATTGCAGGAGCACGTGCGTGCCAGAAGGGCGCAGGCTCAAATAACTCAAAACCGCCCCGGGCTGGCCCCGGGCCGCCCCGGGCCGCCCAGGCAGGCCCCAGGACATGTCGAGAGGGCCCCCAGAAGCCCCCAAGACGGCCCCGGAGAGCCCCGGCACGCTTAATGATGGGCCCAAGACGCCCGAGATTCGCCCCAGGCGGCCCAAGAGGCGTCCAAGACGCCCGAAGAGGCCTCCCAAGAGGCCGCCCAAGAGGGCCCCGAGCGACAGAAATCGTTGATTTCTTATGTGTTTTTCGATGTTTTCGGTCTCCTCGCCTCGTCGGCTTCCCGACGCTCCAAGACGGCCCGAGAAGCCCCCCCGACCGCTCCAAGACGGCCGAAGAGGACCCCAAGAGAGCCCCAAGACGGGCCAGGAGGGCCCCCAGACGGTCCCAAGACGCCCCAGGACGGCCCCAGGACGGCCCAGGAGGCGCCCAAGACGGCCCAAGAGGCACCCAAGACGACCCCAGGAGCGGCCCAAGACGGCCCACGACAGCCCAAGAGGCGCCGAGGCGGGTCTCAGACGGCCCCAAGACGGCCCAAGAGGCACCCAAGACGGCCCGAGAGGGCCCTAAGAGCCCCCCCGGGAGGCCCAAACGAAGGCCGAAGAGGCTCCGAAACGGCCCCCACGAAGCCTTCAGTGCCTTCAGAATTCCCTCCAGGAGCGGGGGAGCGGACGAGAGGCGACAGGCATATTGCAGGCAAAAACGCCCCAAGAGATCCCCAAACGGCCCCCACGAAGCCCTAAGTGGCCTCAGAATTGCTTCCAGGAAGGGGGGGAGCGGACGAGAGGCGACCGGCATATCGAAGGCACAAAAGAACAATGTTGGACGCTCCGAGGGCCTTCGATGTTTCTCCGTTGGGGAGAGTCGTCGTAGGATCGACGATTGCCGACCGAGGGCAGCGAATCCAGTGGAGGCCCAAGAGGCCCCCAGGAGCCCAAAAGAGATCCCCAAGAGGTGCCACGGGGCTTAAAAACTGCTTCGAAGCGAGGGGGGCGGACGAGGGGACCGCCTCAGGAGGTTTTGGACGGTTTTGGGCCTCAAAATCGTCCGCTTTACGACGGTTTTGGAAGGATTTTGGCCTTCTCGCCTTTTCCGCTTTCCGACGCTCGAAGACGGCCCAAGAGGCCTCCAAGAGCGCCCCAGAACGGCCCAAGAGGTTTCCAAGAGCGCCCCAAGACAGCCCAAGAGGGCCCCAAGACGACCCAAGAGACGCTCAAGACGGCCCACGAGGGCCCGAAGACAGGCCCAAGAGGGGGCCAAGAGGGGGACCACGGACCGAAAATCCGAGCCTTCCGCCCCAAGAGGGCGCCAGGAGGCCCAAACAGGCCCCCAAGAGGCCCCAAGGGGCCGCCAAGAATCCCCCGAAGAGGCCCCAGGAGGCTCCCAAGGAGCCCAAACGAGGCCCCTACAGAGGCCCCAACAGCTTCCAAAATGGCCCCGAAGAGGCCTCGAGCCCGCCTCCGAGCTTCCTCGCCGCGAGGGTGCCAACACGGCCCCAGACCGGCCCAGGACGGCCCAAGGCGCGCTCAAGACGGCCCAAGACGATTCCAAGACGGTCCCAGGAGGGTGCGCCCAGGACGGCCCAAGGACGCGCCCGTTCGGGGCCTCAAGACGGGCCAAGATGGCAAGAGAGTCCCAGCTGGCAAAAATCGTTAATTTTCCATTGTTTACTGTTACACCCTTTGCGTTTCCCGCCGTTTCGGCGGTCCGATGCACCAAGAGGCCCCAGAAAGTCCCAGGAGGGTCCGAGGAACCGCCCAGGAAGGCCCCAAGACGGGCCAAGACGGACCCAGCACAACCCAAGGCGCGCTGCGACGGCTCAAGACGGCTCCAAGACAGCCCCAAGAGGGTGCCAACACGGCCCCTGCTGGGCCCAGGACGGCCCAAGGAGGCGCACAGGAGGGGCCCAAGACGACTCCAAGGCGGCCTCCTCACGGTCCCAGACGGCTCCAAGACAGCCCCACGAGGACCCCGATGGGCCCAGGACGGCCTACGGACGCGCCCATGAGGGGCCCACGACGAACCAAGACGGCCCCATCAGGGCAAACGGCGCCCTCAAGACGGGCCTAGACGGCTCCAAGACGGCCCTTTGAGGGAGCCAACGCGGCCCCACACCCTTCGGGCGCACACTTGGGGGGGCTGGGAGCTTGCGACAAGTCTCCCACATTCATTGTCCTGCCCCATTCTGTTCGCCTGGAGGCCTCCTCCAACCCTGTGGGCGAACAAGAGGAATCCCAGCGGGACGCCAACCCTGGGGCCCGTGGGCCCCGCGCCGCTTGGGCAGAAGACGAACGCCGGGTCTGACAGGCCAGCTACCGCCCCCCTTTGCCCGATATGCTGTGCCATTCTGTTCCCCCAGGGGCCTTGGCAAACTCTTCGGGCCAAGCAGACCGGACCCCTGGGACAGCAGCCAATTGATATGACCCTGGGACCTCTCCGCATTCTTCGGACGAGCATCTGGGGGGCCCAGGAGATTCGGACATGTCTTCCCCATTCCTTGCCCTGTCCCGTTCTGTTCGCCCGAAGGCCTCCACAGACCCTCTGGGCGAACAGAATGGGACATGGCGAACAAACCCTCCCGTTGGCGGTGATGCGACTGGATCGCACCATCAAGGCGCGCCCGGAGGTGATGGCCGACCCAACAGCGGTTTCTCTTAAGAGTTCACTGGATTTCAAATTTTCTTGAAGCTCTCTTGGGCCCTCCCTGTAGATCCTTGCGAGCCTCCCCGGCGCTTTCGGTGGCTTTCCCCGATGGCCTCCCGAGCCCTTCCCCGAGCGCTCCTGAGACGCCTCAGATGGGCTTCGACTTCGACGCACATCCCCGAGAGACTTCGAAACTGTCCTCAATAGGAGGGGGGTGAACGAGCAGTGCGCTGGGCCAAGCTGCTGCAGCGCTGCAAGAGCTCGGACACGAAGGCGCGGTCTCGCTGCCGCCGCCCGAGCCGCCGCCGTGTTCGTAGATTTTCGGTACAATCTGCGCCGTTCCTCCGAGAACCATTCCAGAAAGATGTCGTGGACGGAGTCCACGGGTCAGCCCTAGTCAGCTACAACGCTGCGATCAGCGCGTGCCAGAAAGGCAAACAGTGGCAGTGGCAGAGGGCTCTGTCTCTGCTAAGAGACATCCGCCAGATGAAACCGCACCCAGACTTGTTGATCTATGGTATTGTAGCCAGCATGTGCGAGCATGGCGGACAACGCAGTCTGGTGCAGTCGTTGACGAGGGAGATGTGCGGTGTGATCGCAGCGGAATAGCGGAATCCGTATCATAATGCCAGACCCGTGTGCATGTAAAGATGTCGTGAGCGAAGGCAGCGAACTTCGCGTTCCCGTGGAGCAGCACCTCCGCGATGGTCTAGGCTGATCCACTCGCGGGCTCCCCCTGACAGCCCCAGTAGGTCCCTCACAGGCTACAGAGCTCAGCACGGTCCCCAAGGGCCGCCATCATGTTAAAGGCCTTTAGGATTTTTCCTGGGGGGCCCAAACAGTCCCCTCACATCTCCGCAAGGCAAGAACACATTAGGTGTTCTTCCGAAGCAATGCTTGCACGAAGGGTTGACAGGAGTGATCATCAATAGCTGCGAGTTCTTGTTCTTCCCATTGTGCTGTATGGTGGTGCTCTCTATAGCAGGAACGTTCAGGTTTGGTTCGAGCCTGGCTAACAAGAACAGCCAGCCAGGCACGGCTCTGGAGACATACTGTCTATGGCTGGCGCCCCGTGCTGCTCTAGTCTCTCCTACATGGCCGGTGGAAACGCGTGCGAGAAGCCCAGGGCCTCAAGTGCACAAAATCGCCCCTTTACGGCGCCACCACGGGGCCGAATCGCTCAGGCCGGTCCCAGAGGCGCTCCAGAGGGGTTCCCAGACCGTCCAAGAGCGCTCCAAGACGGCCTCAGTGGGGCCCCAAACGGCCCACGGGGGCCCGAAGCCTTCCGGGGGGGGGGGCTCCACGACGATCCAAGAGGCCGCAAAGACGCCCCAAGAGGGCCCCGAGCGCACGCCAAAGAGGCACAAATCGTCAAATTCCCATAAAATGTACATTTTCAGCATGCCCGCCTTGTGTGCTCCTCAGCGGCCCAGGACACGCTAAGAGGCCTCCCAAATCGCCCCAAGAAGACGCCAGCGGCCCCTAAGGGCTCCAAGACGGCCCACAAGAGCCCCAAGACGACGCCAGAGAGCCCTGAAACGGCCTCACAGAATCCCAAGACGGCCCCAAGGGAGCTCCGAGGGGGCCCCAAGAGGCTCCCAAGACGGCCTCAGGCAGCCTCAAGAGCGCTCCTAGACGGTCCAAGGCCTCCTGGACGCCCCGTGACGGCCCAAAATGGCCTCAAGACGTCCCAAAACGCTCCCAGAGCAGCCCAAAAAAGCATCAGATTGGTCCGAAAAAGACCCCCAGAAGGACCACCAAGCAGGCCCAGAGACGCCCATTATAAGAGCGATCGGTGAAGTACAAAGCTCTTCTCACCAAGGCTCCAAAGAGCGAGCCGCAGCGTAGAGAGCTCTCCCAGGCACAGCTCCCAAGAGCGAGCGGTGACGTGACCAGCCCTTCACACAGGGGTTCTCAAAAGCGAAGGGCGCCATGAGCCATCTCGGGCCGATTCCTGAATCGCCCCTTTCGTTTCCGTGCCCGCGCAGGTCTCGAGAAGCTCGTGGACGAAGTCCACGGGTTCGCCCTAGTCAGCTACAATGCTGGGGTCAGCGCGTGCGGGAAGTGTGAGCAGTGGCAGTGGGCGCTGGCGCTGCTGAGCGAAATGCGGGTGGCGAAGCTGGAGCCCGACGTCATCAGCTTCAGCGCTGGGATCAGTGCTTGCGAGAAGGGCGACCAGTGGCAGCGGGCTTTGGCACTGCTGAGCGAGATGTGGGAGGCGA